TAAACCCGAAACCCTGGTCCAAAAAAAGGGAATCCAAAAAAAAAGGGCCAATAGGCTTGGCCCCCAGCTGCTGCTTCATGGGTATTGATTACGCACAGGTGTGAGAGATTCTGTAAACCTGTATGGCCATTTAACTCCGGCTACCCTCCTCGTCCTCTCGGTTTTTAGGGTTTAGGGTTTGGGGTTTAGGGTTTAGGGTTTAGGGTTTAGGGTTTAGGGTTTAGGGTTTAGGGTTTAGGGTGAACCTCCAAGCGATGAGGTACACTGGGCTAATGACCCTACCCCTCGAAGCAACAGACCTGTACAGGAATCCCGCAGTACACATTGGTCGGTCCCTTACTTACTGTGTTGTAGAATCACCCTTCCGAGTATTCCTGAATTTTGGGGATAAAGAGTACCTTGATGGAAGGGGGGGTTAAGCCCTCAACGGCCCCTCCCGTCCCTAAACCCTAAACCCTAAACCCTAGACCCTAAACCCTAAACCCTACGATGCAGCTCCCATCCTGCACGTCGTCAGAGCAGAAGGGTAGTGGGCTCAAGCGCACCTCCTGCACCTCGCCGTGCCTCTGGGTTTAGGTTTTAGGGTCGTGTGCTGTGTTTGGGGTCTGCCTTCAAGGACTCTTTCTAGCGAACGCAAGCTATAGGACCCTAAACCCTAAACCCTAAACCCTAAACCCTAAACCCTAAACCCTATAAACCCTAAACCCTAAACCCTAGGGTTCCCACGGTTCGAGTCTTACGGGACTCGGGTCACTGGGACTCAAGGGCTTCACGTCATGCATTAAGGATCTGAGCTCACGCTCCGGGCAAGGATCTGCGAGGAAGCTCCGCCAAAAACGAATCCGTTTGGGTTTCCCTAAACCCGAAACCCTAAACCCTAAACCCTAAACCCGAAACCCGAAACCCTAAACCCTAAACCCTAAACCTATGGTAAGCCCTCTTTAAGAGCCCCAAGCCAGGATGCGGCTGCAAGTAGTCGGCAAGCAGCTCCTGCCCGGTGCTCTAGGGGGTCTCAGGTGCCAGTCCGGGTTGAGGGTTTAGGGTTTGGGGTTTAGGGTTTAGGGCTAGGGTTTAGCGTTTGGGGGTTTAGGGTTTGGGGTTTGGGGTTAAGGGGCTTAGGCTTTGGGGTTTGGGGTTTAGGGTTTGGGGTTTAGGGTTTGGGGTTAGGGCTTGGCGATCATCTTAACGGCTTTCGTTGTTTAAGGCGTAGGCGTTTCGGGTTTAGGGTTAGGGCTTAGGGGTTTAGGGCTGAGGGGCTTGGAGCTTGACTCAGCAACTCTGATGGCCCGAAGGCTGCGACACCCAACGCCATGCCCCAAACCCCACAGCCCAGGAAACTAAATGTGATTTGAGCTTACTGTCTAGGCTTAGGGCTTACTTGGAGGTTCATGTCACTTACTACCCAAATATAACTATACCTATAAGCCTATAACTGTACTTCTAGCCATGTAAGGGCACTTAAAGGATTTATCAGTGGGTTATAAGTACAGCTATGACTAGATACTAAGTACTATGAACCTCCAAGTAGGGGCAACCCTAAATTCACCAAAAACCCCAAACCCTAAACCCTAAATCCTAAACCCCAAGCCCTAAACCCCAAACCCCAAACCCTAAACCCCAAACCCTAAACCCTAAACCCCAAACCCTAAACCCTAAGCCCACCTCGGAGAACCAGTCTGGCAGACCCGCGAGGCGCAGGTGCCGCGAGCGCGGCCGGTGGTCGCGCTTGGCCTGGATTCGGGTTTAGGGTTTAGGGTTTGGGGTTTAGGGTTTAGGGCTTAGGGTTAAGGGTTTAGGGTTTAGGGTTTAGGGTTTAGGGTTTAGGGTTTAGGGTTTAGGGTTTAGGGTTTAGGGTTTAGGGTTTAGGGTTTAGGGTTAGGGTTTAGGGTTTAGGGTTTAGGGTTTAGGATCTGCCGGCTCTTCTCTGCCTCTAAACCATACAGACGATGTGAAAAGCGCACCAAACCACGAACCCGCACACATCGGACGGAGGGGGGCTCCCAATAGGTGGGTGAATCGGGCGCCCTCAAGCTCAATTGCAGTTCCTTCTGGTTGGTTGTGGCTATCATCTTGGGGGATTGTCATACGACCCCCAAGCATCGCCAACCTCTAAACCCAAACCCTAAACCTAAACCCTAAAGCCGAAACCCGAAACCCTAAACCCTAAGCCCTAATTAGGCCCGAAACCCTAAACCCTAAAGCCGAAACACGAACGAGGACACAATGACGCCAAGGTGCAGCGGCGACCACTTCGCAGAGCTTCCTCTCCGGATCCTGCGCGAAAGGGCGAACCCAGGGTTTAGGGTCCCAACGACCGCCCGCAAACTTGGTAGCCCGGGGACCATATTTTAATGAGGGCACCCTTTTCTGCATCGTTGTTGGGGAAGCATTAAAATCATGACATTTGTTGTCGCGTATTGGGTTTAAGTATTCAGAAACATGTAAGATGATTCTCAACAATGACCCAGCTTGGGGTTGTTACTGTTTATGGGAACCCCGAACCAAAAAAAGGTGGCAACGAGTACCACTCGGCTACCAAGTTAAGCATCTTGCATGGCACAAACTTGCGGACGTGCCCATGCTGTAGGTAAAAACCGTCACCCTAACTACGCCGAATCACCCTAAACCCTAAACCCTAAACCCTAAACGCTAAACCCTAAACCCTAAACCCTAAACCCTAAACCCTAAACCCTAAACTCTAAGCCTAAACCCTAAACCCTAAACCCTAAACCCTAAACCCTAAACCCAAGCCTAAACCCTAAACCCTGAACCCTAGACCCCTACAACTTTAACTGCGAGACCTCCGGAGCCCTGAAGCCTGTGTGATATAGGGGCCTGAATAAGTATAATGCTTTTTTTGTTTAGGGTTTCGGGTTTAGGGTTTAGGGTTTAGGGGGAGTATTATAGTATAACTACGAAGGCACCATAAGGGAATATTTTTAGTAATTATTCCAGCCCCTATATTATGCCTGACAATACTTCTTCTCCAACAGACCTTTAGCATGCTCCCCCTGAAGGGCTCTATAAGATTTAGGGTTCATAGGATCCTAAACCCCAAACCCCAAACCCTAAACCCGAAACCCTAAACCCTAAACTTCATAGGGTTTTGGGGTTTAGGGTTCAGGGTCTAGCCCTGAACCCGAAACCCGAATCCTTTTAGAGTTTAGGGTTTAGGGTTTAAGGTTTAGGGGCTTTTGGGTTCAATGGACGACGTGCGGGGGGGCCCAAGCCCTCAACCCCAAGAAGGACCCTTCTTCAGAGCCCCCCTGTTGGAGTTTTTTGCATGGTTCAGGGTTCAAGGTTCTAGGTTTAGGGTCTAGGGTTTAGGGTTTAGAACTTAGTTGGCTTTAGGGTTTAAGGTTGCGGGTTCAGGGCCTTTAGGCCATAAACCCTCATGGGTTGTGGATCCTCTTCGCCCTCGAGCTTCGCTCGCAGGCCGGCATGCTGGCAGTGCAGAGGCAACCTTTCGGGTTCTTCTTCAGGCTTTACGGTTGGGGTTTTAGGGTTTAGGGTTTAGGGGGTTTTGGGTTTATAGGGCGCTTAGGGTTCTCGGGCTTTTGGTCTTAGGGTTTTCGGGCTTTCGGGTTTAGGGCTTGCAGACTACGGAGAACAAGAAGGTTTCGAGGCCGTACGCTTTACGCAGGAATTGGCTCGGACCCCAAAAACCCTAAGACCGCCCCCCGAAAAAACAAAACCCTGAAACCACAAAAAACCTTGGGATGTTCCCCCTTATACTAGCAGTCCTAAATAGAGATGCGAATAAAGGGCACTGTAATCCCTAATTGATAAGGCCCGTTAGTAGAGGGGGGGGGAACATCCCAACCCAATTTAGCCGTCAACCAAACCCTGACACCTAAAAACCCTGAAGCCCTGAAGCCCTGAAACTCCGAAGCCCCGAAACCGGGTGAGGCGCAAACCTGGATCGAAGGGTTTAGGGTTTAGGGTTTAGGGTTTAGGGTTTAGGGTTAGGGTTTAGGGTTTAGGGTTTAGGGTTTAGGGTTTAGGGTTTAGGGTTTAGGGTTTAGGGTTTTAGGGTTTAGGGTTTTAGGGTTTAGGGTTTAGGGTTTAGGGTTTAGGGTTTAGGGTTTAGGGTTTAGGGTTTAGGGTTTAGGGTTTAGGGTTTAGGGTTTAGGGTTTAGGGTTTAGGGTTTAGGGTGCAGGGTTCGGGGGTCCACACGGTTGAGGGGTTTTGGGGAGTTCCAGATCTCCTAGTGGCACATCCTTTCTTGCGAGGCATGACTCTCAACTTCTCAGCTTTCCTACTTGGAGGCCCATGATCATGGGCACTTCGAACCCCACTACTTATAACCTGTACTTAGGGGACTTGGGGGGGCTGATAAGTGCAGTCATGATTGGGGTTAGAAGTACCCATGAAACTCCAAGTAGGCGAAGAGGAGATCCCAGCGTGCCAGCGCTTCGTGCTGTCAGCTGCACTAAGGGCCCTGTCTGTAGAAGCCAAACTTGGCTGCACTCAGGAGGGTAGCTAAAAATTAAACTGTCAGCTGCCTTAATAAGAAACCCAATAAACCCCAAAAAGGCTAAAGATCTAAAGTTACAGTAAAGTACCACAAAGCAAAGAGCATGTCGTGGTTCCTCCCCAGTTGGTTTAGGGTTTAGGGTTTAGGGTTTAGGGTTTAGGGTTTAGGGTTTAGGGTTTAGGGTTTAGGGTTTAGGGTTTAGGGTTTAGGTTTTGGGTTTCGGAGCCCACGAATCTCAACCGCATTCCAGTCTGGCGGTGGCTGAGGGCATGGCGAAAGGTCCAACCCCCCCCCCCCCCCCCGGCCCTGTACTGTGGCCTGAACATCTCCTTAGTGGCCGAGTAACCCTAAACCCTAAACCCTAAACCCTACAAAGGGTACCACTGGGCTTCCCAAGTCTCCAGTAAAAGTGTGCAAGGTACCAAAAGGGCTAAGCCCTCAGCAGCGATCTGTGGTGAGTCTCCTGAAAGCCCCTCTCCAAACGGGTTTAGGGTTTAGGGTTTAGGGTTTAGGGTTTAGGGTTTAGGGCACTTCTTTCAGGGAGCAGCCATAGAAGGCAGCGTCTCCGACGGTCACAGAGTCAGGTACACGCACTTCCCTCAAGGAGCTGCAGTATTGGAAGGCCCTCGATCCGATCTTGGCCACTGAGCTGGGAATGTCCTAGGATGGCCCTTTAGGGTTTAGGGTTTAGGGTTTAGGGTTTAGGGTTTAGGGTTTAGGGTTTAGCGTTTAGGGGTTTAGGGGTTTAGGGGTTTAGGAGTTTAGGGTTTAGGGTTGAACATGTTCTTGAATAAGTGATCCTCTTAAACCCAATAGTAGGGAAACGATGTAAAATTGTCCTCCAAATACCTACCAAGCATCAACTTCTCTCAAGCTGCTGCAGTCGCAAAAGGCCATGTCTCCGATCTTGGTCACAGAGTCAGGGATGTGCACTTCTCTGAGGGACGTGCAACCGCGAAAGGCAGCGCCCTCAATGCTGGCTACAGAATCTGGGATCCGCAAATGACTCAAGGACACGCAGCCTGCGAAAGCACCAGCTCCAATGCTGGTCACGGAGTTCGGAATAGCCACCTCCCTCAGGGAGGTGCAGGCTGCGAAAGTTTGAACTCCAAGCAAAGCGACGGAACTGGGGATCTGCAACTCCTTCAGGGAGGTGCAGCCATCGAAGGCACCCGCTCCGATGAAGGCCACCGAGCTGGTGATTGGCACCTGTGTCAAGGAGGTGCAGCCCTTGAAAGCCCCGTCTTCGATGCTGGTTATGGAATGGGGAAGCTGCACTTCCGTCAAGGAGCTGCAATAGCTGAAAGTCGCTCTCCCAACCGTTGTCACAGAGTTGGGGATCTGCACTTCTGTCAAGGATGTGCAGCATCCGAAAGCACCAGACTCGATGCATGTCACAGAGTTGGGGATGAGCACTTCTGCCAGGGAGGTGCAGCCGCGAAACGCATCAGCTCCGATGCTGGTAACAGAGCTGGGGATCCGAACTTCTCTCAAGGAGGTGCATCCCCTGAATGCGGAACTTGCGATCGTGGTCACAGAGCTGGCAATATGGACTTCTTTCAACGAAGCGCATTGTGCGAAA